GTGTGTGTGTGTGTGTGTGTGTGTGTGTGTGTGTGTGTGTGTGTGTGTGTGTGTGTGTGTTCGCATGGCGTGAGCCTGTGTGCGTGCGTGTGTGTGTGTGCGTCCGTGCGCGCGTGTGTGTTCGTGTTCGTGCGTGTACGTGCGTCTGCGTAAGTGTTTTATCTCCGGCCTTTAATAATTCGAGTGTACTGTATTGAATGAAGCCATTTTTATCACGTGATTTTCTCGAGTTACCTACTCATGTTGTGAAGGTGACCTAGTACTTCTCGGGCAGCCATTGATGACCAGATACGTTTTAAAAACTGTACTTTATAACTTACATTTTACTATTAAGTTCGAATTTAGTATAAACTACACGACACGTGCTCGGGCGTTTACGAAGATAGAATAGAGATTTTCATTTCTTTTTCTTACCTTCAATTGAAACTCAATGAACTACCACATCGATGAATGAATGTCCGTAATGAATGCATGATGTACTGATAGATGTACGCCCCCATGATGTACTGAAAACAATAAAAATGCGACGACAAACAATTGACAAAATTTCTGAACTGAAGCAAACATAGATAAACTAAAAACGATAACTTCTGAAATATTTATATATTTAACTCTCTGTATCTTGTAAAATCTTAATCGAACAAGCGTTTACAAGGAAATAATATGAGTTATCTTATGATCGGTCAGTATTTACCGGTTAAGGTGTTGATTCCGTATAAGGCTGGGGGAACTGTTCATGTTCCTGTTTCGTGTTAGTATATGTCTGTAATAATCACTATAATAATATAGATTCGATTTTCATTTTCAAGCTTCTTACTTCAATTAATGCTTTACAATTAATACTCGCAAATTTGTGTGATATATTCTTACCTTCAATTGGAACTCCATCGTGCATCAATTAACTACAACGTCGATGACTGTCCGTACTGAAAACAAGAAAACGACGACGACGAACAATTGAATAAATTTGTGAATTGAAGCCAACAGATTAACGAAAAACTTCTAAAACATTAACTCTATATAATAATCTTTACAAGCGTTTACAAAGAAAGAAAAGAGAGTTGAATTTCATTTCCAAGCTATATATATCTTGTAAAATCCAACAGTATTGACGTACTAAGTGCATGATGTTATCACACGTATGTGTACTTACAATCAATCCGCATCAGGTGAGTTGGCGGGAAAACGACCAGAGCAGGTGCAATCAGCCGGTATATATATAGCTTCACGGCATACTAGCAACTAGCGACCTCTATTTCTCAAGATTAATGTCACCAAAAATTAAATGCTAGACTACATAGTTATGTAGTATTTATCCAGTATCTGTAGTATCTTACTTTTATTGATATTATTCTATGATATATTGTACATCGTGCAGTATGTGACTGCTTTTGTGGTTGCCATCACACCTGCCTCTAACAAGTTATCATTTCTGTCTTCTCTGCCTTTCCTCCTGTATTCTTAATTCCTTCCTTTGTCGTTTTCTTGTCTCTCTATTTTCCTGTTTTCATGCTTATCAGTGTACGCATAGAATTATATATCTCGTTTGATATCTCTGAAAGGGCGTATGTTAATATTAATTCGACAATCCCCGCTGATCTCTTCAGATCAGATATGCGTGTGGCCCACGACCAGTCAAGCATGGAAAAACTTTTGCAGGTAAATGGCCGTATTTCAGCCGAAACTTTTTCAACCCACGAGGCACAAAATGTGAATTTACGCCTATAATGCACGCGCACGCGTGCGTGTAACCATACGCGCGTGTGCGCGCCCAGCCGCGTGTGTATATGTGTATTTGTGTGACTGTAAAAACGCGTACTATAGCCGTATAATCATATTTTGTGCTTGGGGGGGGGGGTGAAAAAGTTGAGGCTGAAAACCGGCTATTTGCCTGGCAAACTTTTCACCGTGCAACTGATGCCGTGGGAGATACTATCCGTGAGCGGGGGAGGAAAATACTGAGGGGAATGGAATGAGAGGGGAGGAGGAAGGAAAGAGGAGAGAAAGGAGGGAGGGACGGAGGGAGGCGGACGGAGGGAGGTATAGGAATGCAAAGGGAGATGCGCACACGTACGTACGCACGCACGCACGCACGCACACACACACACACACACACACACACGCACACACACGCACACACACGCACGTACGCACGCACACACACAGGCCCGTAATGTGATCGTAGATGTTGTGATTTTACAACCGAATGGTATTTGATTAGCGCATATCCCGATCACTATATATCTCTCCCGTGTAAATTGTATAAATGGTCAACACGTTGCTACGTAACGTATCGTACGTTGGTTGGCGTATATAAATGCAATGATATGTTATCTACTAATCTATGAAATCTTATGTTATATGAAAAAAATTATGTTATGTTATATGTTATCTTGGCTATCTACGTAATGTATGAAACGATTTATGAACATTCATTACTTAAATGCTTTATAATTGCAAAATCTGGGCATGAAAGACAAACATTTAACAGATCACAATTTGCACCGAAAATTCTGCAAGAAATGCCCTTCTACAATTTGTTAATTTGTATACTTGTTAGTTTGCACATTATTCCGATACAAGATTGCGGCGGAACTATCCGGGCGCATCAAGGGGTAAAAATCTGTAAAATTCCATTACATGATTTTGTGCGATCTTTGCATGTTTCGTAATACGACAGAAACCATATGGATTCATCTATCATCGTGTTGTTCACCGGCTGTGATAGGTAAGCGTAGATGAGGCTACATCAACAACTGTAGACGTCATGTTGCCACCAACGTACTATTTCAGAACAACTTTATCAGCACTTATAGCTGCTGCTGCAGAAAAATGCATCATCACAGCAATAACATAAATTATCCGTGTATTGTGTATGGACGATTATTGCGTATACACGTGCTACATAAAATGAAGAAATGAGAAACAACAGATTTGCAATAATAATAATTAAAGTGTATTTTGGCTCTATAAAGAGAGGAATGTGCAATCACAACCCTGGCAATCACAAAACCTTATCAGGGATTGAAATCTCGTTTAATGTTTAACTCATTATCGGCAAAATGTTCATGTGCTCCTCTGATAGTTGTGTTGGTCATTTGACGGGACAAACACATATCATATCTTCAGAAGACTCATCTAAGCGCACATAATGCAATGAACTGTGAAGCAGCAGCGGGATTCGGCCATATCGGGTCGGTGGCCTAACCACTAGCTTCACGTTCGTGATTACTACATTTCAATCCCTGGGTATTTCAGCTCCTCCCTAACCCTAACAGAGTTATAATGCAATGCTCACTGTGTGCAGAAAAGCAAGCTATTCGTATCGAAAACATTCCATGCTGTCATGTGGGTCACACTGCAACCTTCCCCCCGGTTACACGCTTGTATAAGCGGTTGTGGGGGCTGCACGCACACTGACTACACTCTACATTGTCACAGTATCTGGGCACTGCCATTAAAAGCGACGACAAAAGCTTGCGCGACCTATAACACCGAGCTTACACCAGATAGCCACAGTCGCGGCCGTTATACACAGGTTTGGGTATCTCTCCGCATCAGAGGACCACAATGACACGGAAAGATACAAGACCTGATACAGGCCTGCAGCGTCTACGAGCCAGCTATCCCGCGTGCAAGCTACTACTATCGATCAACGTGTCTATCCATCCACCACACGCCCGCACGACTACCCTCCCTCGTCTGAGGACCACTTCAGTGCGAGGTTAGACAACAGATGGGAATGCGGGGGATATGACACAGCGACACGCAACGTGCGTGTTATCGGTCTGATCCTGAAAGCGTCAAGCACTTCGCTCTTTGGCAACCCACTTAAAACCGATCGGTGAATGAGTACACCCTGCCACTTAACAACCACGTGGGATAAAATACTGCACAGCAACCGAGGAAAGCGAGACTAGAAGAGACAGCTGCTTCGTAAGATCGTAGATTACTGCTACATAAAACTTGGCGTGTGCCCAGCACACACTGACACTCTCCGATCATGTTACTATGTTATCTAATTAAAATCTACAAGTGACATAACAATTAATTTCCGATTGCATGATTTATTAATGCGACACGTGCTATATGCTTAAAAACCTGTGACCCACCCGTTTATAAAAATATTATTTAATAGCAAAATTAGGACTTTTGCAAATTATTACCCGATAATCGTTTACAAGATTAAAAGAAATTCGGAATCCGAATGGCAGAAAAAGCACACATGCACATTTCCTTTGCGGTGGTTTCACTTGTGTTAAACTACACAAGGTTCCAAACTGTTGTTTGCAACGGTATACTCAACATTTGGCCCCTCCGTAAATAACTTTACAACCACCTCCATATCAACACATTTCACAAAAGCTCATCTATCCCGTACTTTGTCGCGTACACGACTATGGAGTTGAAGTTTTTTTTACTAAGAATGTTCTGTTTAACCTTCGTGTTTACCACACAGCAGAAACACGAAGGTTTCACATCACATTCTAAAAAAAGCAACAAGCCAGTTGTCGTTTTTTCTTCTCTCAACGAACGAACAAACATAACGTGAGTAGTATACTAAACATTCCTCGTTCGTCACTCGTGGTTAACGTTATGCTACTATGCTCATAGCAATCTCTACAGCCTCCGTCACATGGCTGATCATGACACACTGTACATCTACACTAGAGCCTTCCTCTCGTGGGAGTTGCCATCACCATGACTGTCACACCATGTCTGCCCATGACTGCACATGACTGCACATGTGCAGCACCATGACTGTCACACATGACTGCCTACCCCACGTCCCCACGCTACTCAGTCCCAGCGACAACACTCGGAAGTTAGGCTGAAATATTTGTCTTTCTACGGCGACATGATGAGATTATAACCGGGCGGATCTCTCTGCGTGTCCCCCGATGCAAACAAACGTGCTCTCTGCAAGTCCTACATAATGCCATATTTTTACAAGATGAGTGGCTCCGCCTGGGGGTGCGATGTGGCGGCGGGCGCTGCCTACAGAGGCGGCGCTCCGTCCGTGTATCTCAGCATCGGGTCGAGGGACTGAGCGAAGGTGTTCTGCAGCACACAGCTGTAGTCTTCCTTGCAGACGGGTATGAGACAGGCGAGGCCGACCAGCGCCAGCATGAGTGCCTGCAGAGGCAGCGCCGTGCGCACGACGCGACTAAGGAACGAAGGCGACGGTGTCTCCTCCTCAGCTTGCCGCCTGTAACGCAAACGCCACAGCTTAGACGCTTCCCATGCATAGATATATATATATAGAGAGAGAGACATTAGTATTATTAACTAGTCTAGTATTATTTCGACGATCCCATGCAACAATAGAGCAGCTTTTACGGTGACATCATGAAGATACGTGTGAAACATATTATACACGTTCTAATATATACATACATTTAACGTATGATATATACCAGCACATTCTATACATATGTTTGTGGGGCGAGTTGGAAGAAATCTTTATCAGCGTCACCAGAAGTTTACGTTAGTGTCACTATTATAATTGTGAGTGCTTGAATAAGAACAACTATGAGATACTTTAATAGCCTTGGTCAGAAATAAATAAGCAGAGATACATGAATATATACATATATATCTATATATATAGGTATATATACATTATATAATAGTAGTATGGAGATAACGATATTGTAATATGATAGACCTAAGAGAGCATTGAACTTACAACAACCAAATGGCCTATATATAATATAATATTTTGATTATATATACATGTCATCATATATAGTTATATATAGGCAATTTGCTACAACCATGCACTGAAAATGAAATAAGACGCACTAAACTATAGAAGCGCATGCAGTAGATTTGATTTTAAATGTTACTGTGGAAACTGAACGTCTTCAATGTTTCCTAGTAAGCGGTAATCATATGATGTAGCTGTAACACTACAAAGAGAACATTGCAGGAATAGAACAATAACAAAGGCAGATATTTACTCATGTGCGCTTAGAATCTCATCCAGGTCTGACAGAGATATGGCTTCAGACAACTGAAGAGCAAATAAAACACAGATTAACACCAAAAAATAAAAATACGTCCACATAAGGCTATCCAGAGATAAGTAGTAGACTACTACACATACATGAAAATACAGATTTTACACTAGTAGTACTACCAAGTAGACAAGTTTAAATCTGTGACAGCCAGGGTTCTGGTCTATGTAGTGCACAAGGAGATATAGTCCGTGAAACAAGATATCATCTCTACGACCCCCTCGGCATCGCAGAGCCGCTGGGCGTCATTAGAGTCACAAGTTGCTTTACCATCCCACTAACTTCGCATCGGGAAACAGTTGATAAGAAAGGAGTGTATCAATTTACAAAGAAAAGTCGAATGTCTTGATGAAAAAGACGACATCATTCAGAATAATTTATCATGAGCAGTTAGATAGAGTATAAATAGGTTAGCATACATGTGTCTCGCACATAGGATTGCCGAGCACCTTTGGTGTAACCACATCGCAAGCAACATATGAAAACCATAGGAAGAGACTCGTAACGAATGCACACATACATGGCAGTAGAACCATCGGAAGCGTACAAGGTCAGATTATAACATGAAACGGATGAGCATATACATCATAGGGTGAATGACCTACGAGCTCCTTGTAGTTCACCCATCACCAGATACACACGTAGTTCGGGACAAACACGCTTTGAAAGAGCAACATGTAGCAAGAACGGGAGATGAAATGTAATGATAGAGATCTAATTCTTCACCCTGTACTGTTTCACTGTATTAAGTGCAACTAGAGGAATGGCCTTCCTCAGATGAAAGACGTGAAACTGTGGCACACAAATGCATACGCAAACATGAAACATCTAATATGATACAAAGAAGAAAGAGCAGTGAATAAAAATACATTTCACTTATTCACTCCTTATATTACAGACATGCATAGACATATTCTATGCATAGACCCATAACGATGTAAAGAGCACAGGACTGTTATAGGTTACACGCCCCTTATATGATATAACTAGGCATGCGGTTGACTCTTTCCTCAGGTACTGACTGTACATTACTTACTTGTTTGGTGAGCTCTAGTGGTATTCCAGCAGCCAGCAGGCGCTGCAGTCTCTCATCCTCGACGGTCGACTGCAGCAGGGGAACGAACACACATTAATCACCGCAATACTCAGAAGCTACGCAATACGTGAAACAACACGTGAAAGAATAGGAAGAGAGCGGGAGCGCATGCAAGCAAAAGTGAGAGAGAGAGAAAGCCCGAAAGGGAGAAAGAAAGAGATAGAAAGAGAGAGAGAGAAAGCCCGAAAAGGCGAAAGAAAGAGAGAGAGAGAGAGAGAGAGAGAGAGAGAGAGAGAGAGAGAGAGAGAGAGAGAGAGGGAGGGATGGCTGGGGGGAGCAAAGGGGAGGGTGTGTGTGAAAGAAATTATGCTATTTAATTTGTGAATAACCGATCGTTAACCTATATACACAGGTCTCAAGACACTATTACATCACCTAAATTTACATTTTACCTCCATCACGAGGCTTATAATAAGCAGTTGATCAGAAGACAATATATAGCTTATAGAAGGCTACAGAAGGCTTATAATAGCAGACAATTAAAAAACTACAGAATTCCCAAATCAATACCGCTATGAGGTCCGGAAGATCACATCTCTCACACACGCACGCACGCACGCACACACGCACGCACGCACACACGCACGCACGCACACACGCACGCACGCACACACACGTAGTCTCGCTGCACACACGTACCTTGGTGCCGTCCATAGCGGCCTTGAGTATGGCGTGATAACGGGAGCAGACGAGCAGCAGGAAGCGAAGTCTGTTGCTGAGAATGTTGAGTTTCTCGCGTGCGTCGCGTGCGTCCGCCGTGTCACAGTCAGCGAGTAGATGCTCGGCCGTGTCTCGCAGTGAGAGCACGCGTGGCTTCCTCTCCTCCAGCTGCCTGCGCACGCTCTGCACAAACACATGACATACACATACATACATACACACACACATACACGTTACATCACAGATCGAATCACATGCACAGTTACGCGAGCTAAACGGAGTTCGCGACATGGAATTATATTTTATTCTATATATTTATGGCATTATGGCATTATTCATGGCATTATAATCTGATCTTATTTTCTTCATCACCAGCATCTATAACGATTCTTACTATAAGGCTAACTTGTTATTGCCTTAAGTTCTCCATTCATTAAAAGGCCAAACTATCTATCTATTAAATCTCATCTATCATAAGGATTAAGACGACGGATTAGAAATGAATCTAATCTCAACCATGCTCATTTATATTTTCTCATTTATATTTTCTCATTCATATTATTCTCACTATCTCGCCTTAATATTTATATTCGTGCACACTCACGCGCATCTCGAGGAAGACGCGGCGTAGCGAGCCATTGTCGTCAGCGAGGTTGAGAGGCTCGCAGCTGCGCACTCTCGCCTCCATGCTCTGCAGCCACACGAGCTGATCGTGAACCGTCTCGTGGAACTCCGCGCAGTGTATGAGCAGTCTCTGCAGGTGGCGCTGGCGTTGCCTCGCGCGCGCGCACATCGCCTCCCAGCGCTGGTTTAGCGCGGTGAGGTCGCGACGGAGACGCGCCGCCTCGGGCGTCACGCCGTCCGCGTACTTCTCGCTGCCGAGGTTGATGGAGAGAAGCAGCTGCTTGTGTTTGTCCAGCTGTAGCAGGAAGTCCTGCACCGCGAGAAAGAAAACAAGATGGTGGAATGAGCGTCAAGGGCAAACGAACGACGTCTGGCAGCGAAGAACATGGCTGCTCAAGTATGTTTTCAGGAGAGATATTTCGACCTGGGAGAGCAAACACAGATGGCTGAACATCTGAATGAGCATCGAGGGGAAACGAAACTTGCGATTCTACGAATCTGTGATTATACGATAATAAAGGCAAACAAACGACGTCTGGCAGCGTAGAACATGGTAACATAGCTCGTGTGTGTTTTCAGGAGAGATATTTCGACTGTACTACCTATCAAAGCAGTAGTGAGATGTAACTGCAATCGCCACTGTTATCCTCCCAGAAACGCAGATGGACCAAGTTTCATTTATTAAATTTATTATAAATATATTGTAGTTATAAATTTTGTAAGAATTATATCTAAATGAAATTAAACAAGCCCGAAATCGACGATAGCGTTCCGCAGTCGCGCACGTATCCGAGACTCGTCGTCGTCGTCGCGGGGGGAACAGCAGCGCCACCTACCCTGTGTTGCATGATGAGCGTCTGTAGTTCGTGCACGCTGTCGGCTCTCTCTCCGGTCTCGTTCTGGTTGTTCTCGGCTTCCTCGAGCCACACCTGCAGGGTCGCGAGGTCAGCGAGGAAGCGCTGGTAGGCCTTGCCGTTCTCGAGCAAGCGTCGCTCCTTGTCTGCAGCCTGCGCTCGCACGAGCTCCCAGCGCTCGATCACACCTGCAGCAGCAGCAGCAGCAGAGCACGTGAGATGCCGCAGCTCAAATGTTGACCTCGTACATGCTTTATTATGTTACATCTGTATATATATTATACTACTATATATATGTTATATCCATCCACACTCTATTACGTTACCTACTACTATATATATGTTTATCCATCCACACTCTATTACGTTACCTTGAGGCACTAATAAATAGAACCTAGAATAAAATTACCAGTGATCTATATAACATCAAGAGCAAAAGATTTTGTTTTCGTTTTGTTGTGTAAAAAATGCGCACACACACATGCGCACGCGCACACACACATGCGCACGCACATGAATTGAGGATGAGGAGTATGTAATGTCTATTGTGTACTCCTCAAAGCTGGTATAATAATTATAATGCACTCACTCTCAGCCTGCTCAGCGCTCTCTCCGAGACTTGACAGGCCGACCTCCTGCTCCAACTTGCCCCTCACGTGCTTGACAACGTCAATGCTGGACCGGCATGACGCTACCAGCTTACCCTGCAACAAGTCGCAAACAAGTGAACGGTGGTAGCAGACAATCACAACCCCCAGTAACTGCCAGCCAGCGTAACTAACGCCCAAAAAAACCCGACGTAAAAAACTGCCAGCTGCGACCAGTAATTACAGTTAAAATCAATCTGTGAAATCGTGAGAACATGAGAACATTCGCACAGCGATACGTACGTAGCCCACCAGGGTGCGCTCCGCCTCGGGGCCTATCGGCGTCTTACAGCGAGTCTGCTCCTCTGTTGCGCTGATTCTCTCACCAGATTGTGCTAGCGCCAGCTGTAACTCCTTCAGGTAAATCTCGGCACCGTCGAGGTCGTCCTGCTGTGCTGCTAATCTCAACCTCATCTCTGCAACAATGAGGCAACACATCGAGAATGTTGCAGCGAGGCAACAGATCGAGAATGTTGCAGCGAGGAAACACATCGAGAATGTTGCAGCGAGACAACACATCGAGAATGTTGCAGCGAGGTAACAGATCGAGAATGTTGCATTGAGGCAAAAGATCGAGAATGTTGCAGAGAGGCAACACATCGAGAAAGCAGCGAGGTAACAGATCGAGAATGTTGCATTGAGGCAAAAGATCGAGAATGTTGCAGAGAGGCAACACATCGAGAATGTTGCAGCGAGGTAACACATCGAAAATGTTGCAACAAGGCAACGCATCGAGAATGTTGCAGCAAGGCAACACATCGAGAATGTTGCAGTGAGGCAACACATTGAGAATGTTGCAGCAAGGCAACACATCGAAAATGTTGCGACGAAATGCTATGCACCACATATCGATTAGATATAGTAGAATTCAATAAATGTATTTTTATTATTATTTTATACAAATATATTTGAGAGAAAGTGTATTTCACACCGTCTTCCCACATATATATGCATCTATCTATATCTCTTGTTTTCTCTCACGCTCATACACACACACACGCACACTCCCGTCCTCTCTCTGTCTGTATGTATGCAAACAATAGTCTGCTATAGTACTGTTTAGGCGACTTGCCATTATTGTCAGAGACGTCGGGCAATCGTGCGATTGTTGGGAGGATATCCCACTTTTCCTCGGGCTCCTCCTCTTTTTCTGCCTCTTTGCGTCGCTTCTCTGTTGAGAGGATGCTCCAACCTTCCTCTTCTGTTTGTGGTTCCTGCCTTACATCCCTCGGCTCAGTCTCCTGAAATAACAATCATTGATGATTCATCATCGTTTGACATCACTGAGATCTACCGATAGCATAAATATATCGCACATTCAGAAAACCTTTTATAACTCTAATACATTTTGTTGTTCTACATTCTATTTCTACGGCTACACCGGCCAAGGAGTCGTGGACCACAAGTAACAATTCAAATGTAAAGAGAAGCAGCAGCAGCACAGCAACCGATTCATGCGGGAGGCAACTTACGGATGTAATGGCATGATCTGTCTCAGTCTCCGTTACTTGCAAGTGTTTCTCATATTCCCTTATCTAACAATCACAGCCAAAAATTAAGGGAGGATTAATCATTGGGATAAATTGATAAAAAATACAATAAACAATGCACAGAGCCTCAAAAATAGATCCAACGTGCTGTAATAAACAAAACGTACAACATATTTCTTCAACAGAAAGAATAACAATGAAGAATTATCAATCAAAGTATGGTCACGAAATCTATACACAGAAGCTGATTCTAAAATGAACCATGCAAACACATAAACAAACAAACGAGTAAAAATCACAGCTGAAAACGAAAACGTAAATGAGAACATAATACTGCCTGCCAACAAGCGCCGTTCAGCACATGCATGATAATTTTTAAGTACCTGCTCGGTCGTCTGTCCATGAAGAGTCTGCTGGAAGCTCGCGAGTTTCGCAAGCACGTCGTCAAGGTAACGATGCAGCTCATCTAGCACCCCTTGCACGGTGACAGCATCATTGCCATGGCAACGTTGCATCAGGTACAGACCAGCAGCATCCAACTGATCAACCTCGCTCAGCCTCTCGTCGACCTCTCTCTGTATTTTCTACAGTAAACATGGCAGCGGTGTGCGTGTTGTTAACCCACATGGATTGGTGTGAAACGCACACCACGTTGCGACTATATACAAGTAACATTTTACACCCGTCTATGATCTACTATTCCATGAATCACCCGTTGCATTCATGAACAAGCTTATTGCTTCACTCATGTTCCGAACATATGCGAACAAAGATGTGAAATTCACTACGTAGCTTCCAATTCACGAGAACACATCAGCCACGTTTGTATCGGTCCCTACCCCCGGCATCTAAACCGACATTGCCGAAAGTCCAACTGTGAGGTAGCATATACGACGCTGTTCAATTGACACTATATCAGAAAATCTTCAGAACCTATTGTAGTAAGCGTGTGCAAAGTTTCACAATTCTAACAACAAGTGCACAATCCACGTGCTTATCCGCCCTACTACAGCTGTGAGGTAGCATAGCTACTGTTCCAGATACGGACACAAGAAAACTGCTGAATTTCTGTAAAACGACTTCCTCTTTATTCTTGCGAAACATGTTAACGGCTCAATCCGCAAAGCAAAAATAACAGGTGTGCGCTACCGTCCCGCGAACATCCGCTCACGTGACTCACTAGCTTCGCGTGTAGCTGGCTGTCTATACGGTCGCGCTGTGCAGCACGGTATTACGGTGCGCTGTGCAGCACGGTATTACGATGCACTCAACATACCCGATTGCGAGACGCAATCCGTAACAGCTACAGCCTACCTTGATCTGCTTGCGCTTGAGTGTGACCTCGGTCTCAGAGAAGTGTTCTATGTTGGTGAGCTGCAGGTCGATGTCTCCCAGCCAGGCGAGGAGGCTGTCTGTGCGAACCTCAAACTCGTCATCACGAACCGTCTGCGAGCGGTGCAGACGCCGCAGCACACACACGCTCCTGCAACGCACACACACATAGTGAACAACGAACAACATACTGCTTGCTTTATTTTTTTTATTTTTACTCTATCTTGCTTCTTTATTTGGTCGTTTTCCTCCTCATTTTTCCTTGTTTTCCCTGGATGGTAATTTACTACAATAACGACAGCGGTAATAATGCAATGACGTCGCATGTGGTGCGTTGGACGACATATTAGAGTAAGACATGAACTAAGTGTCAAGCCCACCTCAGCAGCAGTGTGTCGTATCTACGGTTGACATTGTCGACAAGCGCTCGGAGTTGGCCGGCACTATCGGTGGCGCCATCGCGTGCCAGCTTTCTGTACTGCTTATTGATGTACTCAACTTGGGAGTAGTTCTCTTGAATATTCTTCTGCAGAGCCTAAAAGGAGTAGATTTCTCGGTGATATCTTATGGGAGTTCCAGAACTGGTTACTAAGATACACAAACAGATGCTGCCTCAAGATCTGACACGTTTGCAATTGTGAGCCTTGTAATGAATCGAGATATATTAAGCCAATATTTGTCGATTAAACTCATCACGAAAACAGCTGGCATACATAGTAGACACGATTGCTTGGTGAAACAATACCTCGAACTCGACGAGGAGATCCTTCACTCTGGTATGCTCAATGTAAGCAGTCTCATGACTTCTGGCTTTACTCTCCATCTCCGTAAGCCAGGCATTGAACATGTCATGATCTTCCATGATCTTCTGCCAGCCCCTACTCGACTCCTCAACCCTATATAAACAGCAGACTTACGTCAATCTCTGTCACATAACATATCCCTACACGAGAATCCCACACCGACATTGCAGCTGCTACGCCTCAAACGCAAACGTACTAGATGGGACTCTCCCAAGTGTGCTGCAGTGATAGGGTTAGAGATAAAGTGTGCCAATGTTTCTTATCAAAATTCAACGACTGAAAACCATCACACGTTGAGAATATATGAACCCATAATATATAGAACATAACAGCAGGAGCGTACAATATAGACTATAATCTAATATATAATATAATCTACATTATACACTCCTGATGATATATATATGACATTATAATGATCTCTTGTAATTAATCACAAGCAGACCTAAGTCGCCTGTCCATGGACATGGCACAGATGTTTCTCCAGCGCTTGTCAAGACTCTTCATAGCCTGCTGGAGTGCCGCAGCTTCTGCTGATGTTGCACAGGCGTCCTGGTCCTTCTGCAAGACCTCGCACAGGTTGAGCACAGAGCCGATGGCACTGCTGTGTCCATCTATGTCTGTCTGTTGCTCCTAAACACGAACACATAATCAATGTAGAGTGCCGCCAGCCAGAATGTGTATTACTCCTTAGCCTACTCATGGTGCAAGATATAAAACAAGTACGGTTTAAATGGTAAAGAGAACAAAGAAGAACATGTTGGTAAGACATTGATGTTCAGTGATCCCTTCATAAGGGATGAAAATAAGTCATCTTTGTAGCAGGCAGATCAAAAACTAGCAAGGAAAGAAACGAGCAACGAAGGCAGTTTGAGATTTCTACCTGAACGATGATCTGCAGTCGGCGGATTTCCTGTTGACTGAAGTTCTGGTAGATGATAGGACTCATGAGTTCATGCTCAGTCTGAGCCAGCCATTGTCGCAACCTACTCATGTTGTCTTCCAACTCTTGTACGGTCTGCAGTGTGTCCCTGAGCTTACTCAGTCTGTCAGAGAAAATTAGACAGTGACAAACAACCATTCACAAAAAATACACACACAGGCCAACATCACTTTGAACTCCAACAGTTACTCGACACTCTGTCTTCTAAACGGAAATCATGATTACAGGGTATAATATAAGCCGATGCATTGACATAGTGCCGGTAAAGACGACAAGAGATCGGGAGTAAAAATGAGGAAGAAAACGACCAAATAAGGCAGCAAGAGGGGGCAAAAATTACAAATAAATGGTAGCAGGTAAATTTCTGCATGCGTACCTAGCTTCACAGATGGTGTCGAGACTGTGTAGGTTTGCGCTGACACACTGCATCTTGTCCTGAATGTCTGTGGCCACGGATTCTGTGCTGGCGTGCTGCAGCCGTGCTCCAAGCTGCTGTAGATTCTCACAGTCCTGTGCCTTTGCTCTTATAGCTACCTTGTAATCCTGATGGAACACACATCAGTAAAATGGCATTACTGTGCTTCACACTTATCTGCACAGCTTCACAAATAGAAAAAGTGATTTCCGTTACCCCTAGTGTTCTATTAATAATGTGTTGCAATTAGTTGATAAGATTAGTGGATAAAATTGTGATAATTATCAGAGCAAAACGAGCAGCATTTGGACCTGCCATGAATGTAGTTTTCAGAATGTCATGCCTTGGCTCAAGCGGAATTTCACTGCAAAACAAACCTTCTCTATCTTCTGTACAACGTCCTCAATGTGAAGGCCCCCATTGTTAGATACAGTCCTAGTCATGTTGTCCAGCCAGGTCATTAGTTCACTGCAGCGCTGGTCAAACATTGGCCACTGGCTCAAGGCCCGCTCCACGCCGTGCCGTCTATCGGTCACCTGCAGCACACAACACGATGAGTTAATTCGCGTTAAATCCCTAGAATGCAAAGCAGCAAGGATGCTTCTCTCCGACGAAGACTGCATCGACCTGCAATTCACTAGTAGCATTGTTGTAGTTGCTATAGTAGGTAGTTAGTTGTAGAGTTGTAGCAGGCAGTTGTAGTAGTATGGTAGGCATTGTCACCATTGTTGTTGTTGTTGTGATTGTTGTTCTGGTGGTGGTGGTGGTGGTGGTGGTGATAATGGTGATTGTGGCCATGGTTACAGTGATAGTATCATCATCAGTACAATCGTAGCAGTATTCATAGTAGAGATAGCAGTAGTAGTAGTTAGCAGTGAGGTCTATAGATGGCGCTGTCAGCACACCTGGCTGGTTCTCTCGGTGAGCAGGGTGGCACTGAGTGCGATACGCTGCTGCAGGATGATGGTGTCCTCGCGACGCAGGCTCATCGCAAGCACCTCCACGCCGATGCGCACCTCCGCCAGCTGACTGCTCAGCTGTGACAGGTTCTCCTCATAGTCCTGCAATCACCGTCAGCAATTAGAAGCAGACAGCTTCAGTAAGCAGTTGCTTACAATAGTGGTGTTCGGTGATTATATTATTTTATTATATGCTATTTATTGTGGTGTTACCAAGTAGGTACAGTGCTCAACTGTACTGGAGCAAACAATATTTCCTCGTCAATTTGCTGTGCACGTAATATGCGCATGGGCACGTACTTTACAAGAAAATGATGAAGGTAATAAAAAGAATGCCTATAAAAATACCAACCCCGTGCACAGATTATGTAGAAACAATTATAATATGATTTTGATAGTGTTGCAGATATCTATTCAGGTGAATTGTGGGTAGAGGAAACTTGGCGTGCATGCGTCTGGAATATAATTAGGTGTAACCTAGATAGGCTAAGCTCACTTTGCACAGTCGCAGTTCCATCTCTAAGCTTGACGAAGTCGTAGGAATATCCTGGTCCAGTGGTACCCTCATTTCTGCAAGCCAGGCTGCCACCTGCTCAAGGTTCAGATTGCATTCGTCCCACTGTGCCAGCAGACACTACAAAGAAAGACAAACTATTGCTCAAATTCACTCTTAGAGCAAATATCAGCATCTAAGAAAAATAAACGGATTCAAGGTAATCTAAACGGCTTGAAAACTTTACCTGTTTAACACCTATTCCAGTTCACTCTAAAGAAAATTACGTTTTTAGGAGGTTTTCCTTGACATTTCTTCTGGATTATACACACAGCCCCCCTACAGAGGCAGTTCAGGTGAAGCGTATACCTGCAGTTGTTTGGCCTTGTCGATCAGCAGAGCTGACAGACTGTTCCAGCGCTTGTCCACGTCGTCTAGTTCCACCGTCACCAGAGCGCATCCGATGTCGTCACCGATCACACGCACGCTGCCACCGGCCTCCAGCAGTGATGTCAGCGAGGGGATCTGTACCTCCAACAACCACTGCTGCATCTGCAAACGCAGATGAAAACGTCAGCGAAAACATTTCACAACCAGCTGTGTGTGATGGTAGTCAGCAATACATCGCCGCGCTCGTGCGGCTACGTGACACGCTCGCCCTCATACACAGCAAACACTGACAGAATCTGAACGCAGGAACAATGAAGCTCTATGCTGTGACAATCTTACAGCCGCCATACCTGGATTAGTGCCAGCCGGCCATGCATCTTCTGTATGCACACAGCGGGCAGCTCTGACTGTGGTACCCTGTCCTCAGCCTCCAGTAGTAGTCGCTGCATACTAATGCACAAGGGAGAAATGTCACAGTGACCACCTATCCTCATCAAATCTTATATGCAGTAATAACGATAACAACAGCTAGAATCGATATTATAGTTAAGAAAAATTTGGGAAATAAATCCGTGGTGTGAGGTACATACCATTTCAGCTGCTGTCTGTATCTGGTCCAGAAGAAGATATTTCTGCTGACTTCCAGATGTCTCTGTGCCAGCTTCAACAGTAACTCATGACCTTGAACCTGTATAGTTGCTAGGTGCTCCTTGAAGACAGGTGCGCTGCGGATGGCAGCTTGGCTGAGCATCCGCTGCCCAGTGGCATCTATGGACTTAAGAATCTCTTCTTGCGCCGGTGCCAGAGCCACAAGATTCTGCAAGAGGCGAAATTCACATCATAACCTGTAAATATCTGTATTGTTTGATACCTTCATGATCGTGCTTTCCACTAATTACATAAGAACAGCCAGAATCCGTATCTAGACATTCAGAATGTAAATTACCACTACTTCATGAATCACTAGAATCGAACCTTGAGCACTTTCTGCTGTTCGGTGAGGCCCTCCTTTGTGGTACTGATCGGTGAGTCCAGCTCATTCTCAACCTCTCCTGCGTAGTTCTGCCAGAGCAAGCACAGCTCAGAGAACGAGTTGTACAGGGTCAGACGTCCTACCAGCTTCACGTGTGCTTCCCTGACCTGCTGGTGGGTCATAGTCCAGCGCGTCGCTAGCTCACGGATGCCTCGGCAGGTAGCGTTGGGCACCATCGCGCTCTCTGGGAGAGTGGCCAGGTACTGACACGTGACGCTACTGTCCGACATCTCCCTCAATACATTCTAAAACACAGTAGAGTAATGATTAGAGATATATATATATAGATATATATATATATAGAGATATATATATATAGAGATATATATATATAGAGATATATATATATAGAGATATATAAGAGATATATATATAGAGAGATATATTAGAGATATATATATATACATACAGTGATATATTAGAGAGATCATAGTGTGGTGACGAGTAATCATACTCATGAAAAACAATTGCGCCGGTGTGAGATTGTCAGGCTGCTCTATCCACTGAGAATGAGGAATTAATAGAAGGCATTGTAGAAGAAGTTTATGTACGTGCACGTGGGATGTACCTCTAGAGTCACCGCGGCAGCTTGTAGCGCTTCCTTGTCATTGGTGTTAGCATCAGATGCGCGGGATGCCGTGTCTGCGGCGCGATCCAGCAGTAGATTAATTTCTCCCATCATTCTCTCTACGTGACGTATTCTGTCTAGTTTGCTTTCCAGCGCTGCGACACGACCTTCTAGCTCTGAAGACATGCTGCTCTGTTCATCAGCGAGTGTGTCTACGCGAGCGAGCACGAGACCTCTGGATGCTGTCTCAAGGTTTGTGGAAATGTCTTTGGTCTCCTGACTGAGAAGCACGACTGCCTCCTGCTGAGAACGGACCTCCGTAACGAGACTCTGTGAAGCAAAAATAGAGATTCATTTGCATGGACACAGACAAAACGTTAACAGATAGATATTCGTATCAGTATATACGTACAAGATACTAAATCTATAAATAGGTAGACATAATGGAGAAGTCTAGGAAATAACTAATTAAATATTTAAATAACGAAAATATTCAGTAGTCAATAAAATGGTTCGTATATGATTGTGGTAGTACGGTGGTTGTTATGTAGATTGAATAGGAAATTTCCTACACAAGTAAACATCCATGTAGGCACATTCTTGAGTAACACTTTTTGAAGCAGACTCAGAAGAAGTTGCATTAGAATGTGCAAGTATCGTGGTGGATCTCACGTGAGGGCGAACCATTACGCATGCAGCCATGATCCACGCACTCACCTGACATTCTCTTAGTGTGACGTCAGTGTCGGAGACAGGAGCGTGCACCAGCTGCAGGCAGATGGGCTGTTTGCTGTCTAACCAGGCCTGCCGTTGCTCGGTTTCACTCTGCAGCCAAACCCAGCGCTGCAGGATGTCGTTCAGCCTCTCCAATCGCTCGCCCACGTCCTCAGACGCTACCCGTAACCTGCAGATGCAGAATCACAACGTCAGTACAACTCGTACACCTCTGTGCAAAACCAGGAGGCATTCCATGAGGTCACTAATATATTATCCCATACCGGATGCTAGATCAAAAGAACTATATAGCTATGAGTGAAAGAAGCATTTTACTAATGGTACCATGCACTAAGTGTGAGTCATCTACCTAATATGAAACCAAATACTCGCTTTTGCGTAAACGTACTGCATGTCATATACTACTACAAGCGAGGATGAACGAACATTACCTATTACTCATATCCTTTGTGGTTTTCAAGTAGACGTTCTTCGCTTGACCATCAGGCAATCTCGCCGTGACAGTGGTTTCAGCCGTCGTCAGCTCATTCTTCAATTGCTCGCTGTTCAAATTCTCTTGTAAGGTCTGCAATGTAAAGAGAAACACGGTGAGATAGAGCATGGTTCAAGTAGACATGCTCGGAAGACATCAAACGATCACTTGATGGAGGGGCATACACTGTGAGACGTAGGAGTTGCTAACATTCCATGTACGCTGTAGAAGTTAACAAGGTATACCTGTAAGGTGGTCAGATGTTGCTGCAGTGAGGCATGGTTACCAGCTAATGTCTCTGTCTGGTCTAATTCCAGATGGACCCTAGCCAGCGTTCTTGCCAGTTGTTCAATCACCTATAGCAACAAAGAATATGAGTTAGGTTGCGCATTTATGAACAATTGAACATACCACAAACCTGTTTCTCTCTTTATTATGAGTAAATAAATTAATTATTAACAGGAATTTGCGGTAGAACTTATGTACTCTCTGGAACGGACACATTTCTAGATTTCTCGCGCGCATGAGGTAAAACATCATAGTCGCCACGCTATCTCAATCACCTGCCCATAGTTGTTCAGAGAATCCAGTCGTCCCTGCAGTTCATTGTCCGTCTCGCCACAGCTACAGTCGACAGCGGTCAGTGAGTGGTCAAGCGTGCTGAGAGTCCGCTGGATGTGGTCAGCACACGTGGGAACGGCTTTGTAGAGTGCAGGCGCACTCGTCTGCAGTGTTACGACCGTTGTCGTGTGCAGCGCCACCTGCTGCCTGATTACCTGCAGGGCGAACACAGCAAGCGTCACGCTCCTGCTGCTAGCTACACCACTTATTACATTGTTAGCTTTACTGCCCTACTATGTTTGTAAGTTGTGGTTGGTGTATATACTGCTCACTTGTATGTGTGTATATCATTAGTATCATTTAGTACTGTACTTATGATTTATTGCTTATCAGTTTCAATAGTATTATGCCTACAATAAGTTCTATTATTATTATTATTATTATTATTATTGCTGCTGCTGTTGTTATTATTATATTTTGATATCTCATGACTTAAAAATTCATTCATACAGTTTATGTAATTCCGTGAGCAAATAAGTTTGTAAGTGCTTGGTTTACTTCGCTAACATGAACAGAGTACGACTACAAATAATGCCACATTTCAGTCGCAGTGTGTCCGGCTTCTGCACCTACCTTGATCTCACTGAGAGCAACCTGTATGTCAGTGCTATCCGTGGCTGTCTTGTACATAGCTAGCTGAGTCTCACTGTGCTGCGCCCATCCTTGAACGTCGGCCAGAGAAGTGTTCACCTCCAGCCAGCTGATGTAAGTCTGCTCCAGGAACTTGAGCATGTGTGCAACCTCGCTGGACACAACCTGTAGTGATAAACAGGTGTTGTATGTCTCACTCATGTACGCCTCAACAATTTACTCACTTATCTCTCTCTTGCTCTCTCTCACTCTCACTCGCTCTCTTTCTCTATCTGTGGCTCTCTCTCTCTCTCTCTCTCTCTCTCTCTCTCTCTCTCTCATTATCTTGACCTCTCAAACTTTCATTGTTTGCCTCTACCGATCTCTGCTTGCTCCTTCTGCCTTCTGTGCTCTCTGGCACGCAGTTCAATCAACCTCCAGCATAAGCCGATTTACTACCCAGCCAATAATCTATCCCACCCATTAACGACCCCAGCCCCACCTCACACACGATAAACTGTACTGTCCGTTAAATCCAACCCTCCATGTTCAAGATACTAACATTTGAAAACTACTGAATATCTGTACAACGATTTTCTCGTTATTCCTATAAAACATTTCCAAAAATGCTAACAGCTCAATCCTAAAAGAACCTAAACTCAAATGTGCACTGAGCTACTCGTCTCGTAGCTGGCTACTGACGCACTGTGCAGGATGGTTTATGCTGTACTGAGTATACGTTATTACGAGACGCAATCCTTAACACTCCATCCTACCTGCCAGTGTTGGTTGACGTTTCCTAGCTGTTCTGCAAGGTCCATGCGCTGTGGTCCATGTAAGTCCAGACTCATCTCCACTATCGACTCGTTCACTTGGTCGATGACTGTGCGTTTGCTTGTGATCTGAACCTTCACGATCTGAGATAAGAACCAGGGATTTTCTTCGTTTAACACTCCTAGGTGGGACCCATCGTTCATGGGCAAATGTTTTTGATTGCTTGATCAGGCAACGACTTAATGTTTGAATGAATATTTGATAACATCACGTGCGACCAGCCAGAACGCGATCATGAAGCTATGACGACGAATTACCTGGTACTTGTCCAGAAGTTGGTGAACGTGGTCATAGGACATCAGTGGGCTGCTCTTGTCATCTGTCAGCATAGACTCGACCTGGCGCAACCAGTCTGCAAGCTGCTGCATGGTTCCTCTCGGTGATGCATACTCAATGTCATAACTTACGAGTGGCTTCTCCACCAACGGTAGACCTGAATAGATGATGAATATTATGTCAATTATTTTAATTAATACGTTTTATTTTATTATGTCAATTATGATGTTACAAGACATTTTTGCAGTCGGGAGCATAATCTAATAGCATGTTAGAACTATTCTAAACTTCAGCAGAGTAGTCAAGCAAGAGAAGACACATACTTGTGACGAGATCTTCCCACTGCTTATTCACAGCTAATATCTTGTTTCTGGTGTCAGACGCTGTTGTTGGGTGAGCAGCAATTAGTTGGTTTCCAGAAGCAATCACCTTGTCTTTGCGCTCTTCTTGTTTGTTTATGGCTTGTCGCACCTCCTGAATAATAAGTATACAGTCTAATGAAGCACACTGTCAAACTAGTGCAAGAAATAACCAAGTTTAAATATCCGTTCACCACGATGAATAGCTTATGTACTTCAATGTGAAAGTGATCGCAGCAATTTACAGCCACCCAACCCCGTACATATGTACAGGGGTGACTAATGAAAAATTGCAAAAAAAAACAAAATGAAAAATTTGTCATTTTATTCACCCCTGATATGTCACACACACACACACACACACACACACACACACACACACACACACACAGTGAAAATATGTTTATGGAACATACCATCACTTTGGTAAGGGCATCAGTGACGTCCTGTGGCTGCAAAGGTGACTTCTTAAGCTGCACCTCTGCAAGCTCATTGAGATCCTGATGTGTGTGATGCATCCACCACGACAGTTGACTGCAGTCTTGCAGGAACAACGCGTGCTGTGACAACGTCTCACTAAGCTTCTTCAGTTCCTACATAGCAGCAAATACCAGAAGTCAGATCAAGTAAGAGAGAATGATCAGAGTCACTACAAGTCAGAGCAGACTCACACATGGGTGTGCCATAATAATATAATTTTGGTGATATATAATAATGATTTCCATATTCTGATTAGGTAAATCAAGTTGGTTAAGTGAATTGTGTGCGGAATACCTTTGTGATTGAATCACTGATTGCAGCCCATTGAGTATCCATCTTGTTTAGTTGTGCATCCAAGCTTGCGCATGACACTTCAGTCGTCAGGAGTCTGCCAGTCCGAAGTGTGGTCAACACTAGATATTCACTCCCCTCCACAAACTGTTTGATCACCTACATAACACATCAGTCTCATATACACCACCCCTTACATACTTTACAACAGTAGATGTCATAATTAAATTAATGTGATGTATTATATTGCCATGTTTCTAATATGGTAAAAATAATACAGAATCGAAGTAATAGTGTTAATTTCAGTTAAATTTTATGGCTTTTATACACTCCTCGAAAAGATGATCACTTATTCCCCAGCAGTCTCACCTTTAGAGCGGTCAGTCTGTTCTGGTCTCCGTGAATGGACGACAGCAGTCCGTGACGACGAGCAAGCTCAGTCACCGCCTCCTGTGCCTTCGGATACCTCGTGTCCAGTTCCTCCCAGTGTTTGACTGCCCTCTGCATGAGTATCACGAGCTGCGCTGCCTGCGACTGATAAAAGCAACGTCTGGCATGAGCTACAAGCACAGAATCGCAACGTCTTGCATATGCTACCACATTACGTTTAGTTAAAGTGCTTACGTAAAGTTGTTATCGTAAAGTTGTTTAGCACTGGGTTCCGTGATCCTTAATTCTACTGTTCCACTGTTATTTAAGATGAACAGTCACACTAATTGAACGTAAATCTGTAATTAATCTGGATAGAGTAACAGTGTAAATATGCACTGGATTAATTTAAATTAAGCAACCAGTTTGCATTGCATGCCCATTGATGGAAGAAAAGTATAAGAAGAAAATAAAGAAAAAGAACAGGAAGAAAAAGTGGCAGAACAAAACGAAACAGAGAACGAAACACAGAGTAGGAAGAAAAAACGAAAAAGAAGAAGAAAAAAGATGAAGCACAGGAAGAAAACGAAAACCAATAACAAAAGGTGAACACAACAAGGCGTGCTGCAAGCTGGCAACAACAATGCGCTCCCGCTCCAGACCTCACCTGCAGGGCGTGTGTTTGTTCCGTCGCCTGCTCGTGCTCGCTCGCAAACATAGCGACGGTGGCGCCATCTGCACGGTCTCGCACCGCGTCCAGCACAGCCTCGTACACTTCCATGTCGTGCATGAGGCTCCTGTTGTCCGCCGCCTGCGAGGTCAGGTCATCGAGGCCCGTCGCTCGCACGCGTCCCGGCTGTAGCCGCCTGGTGGCCGTCAGGAGAAGCTGTTGGTACTCGCGCAGTATCTTCATATAGAGCGATCGGACGATGACGGTGCGACGCAGCGTCACAATGCTGGTCCTCACCAGCGTCCTCAGCTGCCGGAACTCGGCAACCGTCGTCGTGGTGACCGTCCCGTTGGTGCGGCCGCTCAGCTGGATGTCGGTGATGACGAGGTGATGAAGGTTCTCCTCGCAGGTGGTCAGCTTGACCTGCACTCCCTGTGATAAACATATACATATATGCTGAGAATCTACTAGCTTGACCTGCACTCCCTGTGATAAACATATACATATATGCTGAGAATCTACTAGCTTGACCTGCACTCCCTGTAATAAACATATACATATATGCTGAGAATCTACTAGCTTCACCTGCGCTACCTGTGAAAAACATATACATAGATACTGAGGAACTGTTAAGGTGAGCTGTATTCCCCGCTCTAAACATACACACAGATACTGAGAATGTCCTAGCTATAGGCTGCTACGTCCTACCAGCCTGACCTACACTCCCTGTGATACCCTGACCTACCTCTATGCCAGTCTAGGTTAGATACAGAATGGTAATGAATGAGAATTAGCTTACCTGCAGTAGTTGTATCTGCTCCTCTGGAGAGAGGCTAGTGTCCATAAGGATCACGTTCACCTCAGTATGCATTTCAGCAATCAGCCTCTCCTGCTCAGAAACTTGCACCTGAATTTACAGCGGCCAAGTTCAGATAAACGTCACCGTTTGCCGAGTGTACTCATTCATCACAGTCGTGTTACGAAACACCAAAGGCTGTGACAATGTTAGAGTGCCACCAAGTTAGGCTCATAGGGTCTATGTCCCCCAGGGTACTATCGGAGGGTACTCTGGGTACAGTCCGGTATACCGGAACGTACCCTGGTAACTATCTGATATGGTTAGGGTTAGGGTTAGGGTTAGGGAGTAGGCGTAGGCGACTCCCTAGACTCGTTAGTGGAGTAGGCAAGGTACGGTCCGGCATATTAGATAGTACCAGGGTACGTTCCGGTATACCGGACCGTACCCAGGGTACGTTCCGGCAGTACCCTGGGGGACAAAGACCCTCTCAGCCCAAGCTAGCAGCACTGGGATTGATACTGTTACAGTGCCATTTGAGTCAGCGGCAACGATAGTGACATTTTTCAAGTACCCCTGAACTAGCAGCAATGCCAGTTACAATTTTACAGTGACACTAAGCCAGCAGGAATAACGTTAACATTGCTACAGTGCCATCAAAGTAGCAGCAGTGTAGGTTTCTGGTTATTGATAAATGAAAATAAAGAGGAATAAAGAATAGCTAACTGACTCTCTGGCAGTGATACGTTTCTGACACGAGGGTCAGACATTATAGTTAGCCATGCGATTCCTAACACAGGACTCGTTGGATTAAGCAAAGCATGGAAACAACAAACGAGTGCAAAAACGTAGCCTGTCTTACCTGTAGCTCCTGCGACTGTGTGAATTTCTGCTGGAGTCCGGCCTCACTCTCCACGATCCTGGTCTCCAGTCTCTCCAGCCTCACAGAGAGCATTGTGATGAGCTGAACGATAACCACCTTGGTGTGTGGAGCTGCAGTAGATAATAACTCGGGTGCTGCCTCCTGCAGAGACACCAGCTCGGCTCTGGTATCACGCACCTCATCCAGCAATGCCTGAAATAAAGTTAAGTTATCCTCAGTCAATAAATAAAAGAGCAGAAGCAGATTTGGCAAAGATAAACAAATACTAACTACTCAAGATTGGCTATAGAGTTATAAATATATTTTAAAATATCGAAACACATACAAGCATGTGCATAAACGCATGTCTATGCAGATCCAATAGTCAACATATGCTAACACACCCAGCAATGAAATCCAAGCTGATGTTCAAGATAAAAGGTTTGTACCCGTTTGTGTTACAGAACTATGTCGCCGACAGCCGACAGCAGTCAACAACTGTAGATGCAAGCGGTCATCATACCTTGTGTTCATCAAGCTGCTCCTGTACGCTAAGCTCCGAAGTCTCCAGGAATCGAACCTCCAAACTGCTGATGTACTGAGCGACGATGCTGAGGGTATGCCTCAGCCTCTGCATGAGCGCCAGCTGCGCTTGTTCGTCGCTGGGGCGCTCTCTGGCGGCAGTCCAGCAATGATGCAGCTCGGTGATGGTGGTCGTCACCAGGGTGCGCTGAACGACGATGACAACGACTCGTGTCGTTACAACACGCAGCACGCGAAAAAGCTGCCGTCCTTCCTCGGACATTTCCTACGACGAAAGTAGACGAACTTGTAAAGGACACGCCATATAACAGTCGCAGATCATTTCATTTGCATAACACGTAATTACAAAGGTTATCAAGATAGGCATCCAGCATATTTGCTGGTGTGGTGATACAAGCACTTGGTAACAGAGCGTAAAGTCTCTTCTTTATATCTGACCGAGCAAGCATGCAGTTTCATATTGCCATCTGCTAGAAGAGTTCGCCATACGATTGCATATGACAATTCGTTGAGCATGTAATAGAGTAGGAATTGCGAAATATTACAATCGTCATTGCGATAGATGATAGAATGGCGGAAAAGAGCATGAGTAGCACACGAGCATTAACTCACTTCTGTTTCTTCATCCAGTGTATCTAGAATGTTGCTGGTCTGTGCCACGTTCCACTGCAGGCTGTTCCACTCAGCGTCCACCAGCTCAGGGGTCCACTCACTGCTGCTCAGTGGTTCCTCGGGCACCAGAGCCATGTCGGCTACGGATCGAATCATGAGCTGGTAGTGCGTGAGACCGGTGTCATCAGGCTCCTCAACAACATACTCACACACCTCAGCGGGCGCCGCATCTGCCTGTGCCTCTTCCACGGTCCTATCAGTCGGTTTCGCTTCGGGGGTCACCGTTGCTTCTGTGGCGGTCTCTCCCTCGGTGGGCCAAAGTGCCGGCCTCTGCTTCTTCTTCTTCGGTTTACGTTTCTTCTTCTTTGCGAGCACGTCTTCTCCAAAGTCGACCACCTGCTCCTCCGTGACGCCGATGATGCCTGAAGCCTCGGATGCTGGGAGCCACTCGCTCTCCTCCGCCGGGGTGACTAACGTTGTCTCCTCAACAACACGCACGTCAGTGGTCGTCACGGTGACTGTTGCCGTAGCCTCTTCGCCATCGCTCGACGTTGGCTGGAGTTCTTTCACCTCAGTGGTGATTTCAATGTCCTGCCGCGTGGGCCGCTCCTCCTCTGTCACCTCAGTAACGACGGGCTTCTTCTTATGTCTCCTCCTCCTCTTCTTCGCAGCCAAGGTGTCACCACCCGCGTCAATCACGACGTCTTCCCGCGTCTCAGGCTCCTCCTCCGTGATCACGACGACTTCCTCTTCGAATGGACTTACCACCTCCTTGGTGGTGATCGTTGTCGTGACCGTTTCGGTCGTGACGGTCCGTGTGACTTCGCTCGTCTCTGGTTCTTCCTGCGAGAGCTGCAGTTCTGACGTCGTGATCTTCGGATGTTCCTCTGTTCTTTTCGCATCTCCGGCCTCCATAGCAGTGGCCGGTTCCACGGTGCCAAACAGCTTAGAACTAACCCACGTGGTAAAGCCACCCTTTGCTTCAGCCTCCTTTGCCTTCTCTCCTGTTTTCTAAGTGAAGAGAAACAAGAACAATTATTACACGATTCTATTAGTAATAATTGTTATATATACTATAAGGTTTGTGCTTTCATCATAGTGGAATGCGGTCAATTGTTTTCCATAAGTAACATGCGAAAGTCATGTAAATTGTGTTGATTAGAGGTATATACAATAAGAACTGCTATTATTTAAGAGCTCCCTATATTGTTGACATGCATTTACACCTATAGAAAAAACATGAACAGTGCAGCACGTTTTTCAACCACCCTGCTCACAGTGGAACAGGACATATAACTGTGACGTCACCGTCGTCACTGTACACTACACAGTGAAACATGACACGCTGTCATATATATAACTTCTATATATGCTTCTTCTCACCTCAATGGCTTGCTGGAGCTCCACCTGCCTGCCCTGTAAGTGGGTCTCGATCTCATGCAGCAACCACAGGACAGTGTCCATCCTGCTGGTCATCGCCTCCACGTCAGCGTCCGGCTCGTCAGTGGACAATGTCTGGTACAGGGAAGCGAGGTATGCTGCCTCCTCAATGTGTCGATTCAGCTCTGCCTGCATGTCCTACAAACACAGGATTGTTGAAGCCAAGTCTTACTGCAAAGTACTCACGACTGTAATAATGCAGAAGAACAAAAGATGGCCAGCAGAAAATGATATCTCTAAATAATCAACATTTGGAAGACTACATTACTTAGAAAACCATTTTTTTAACATCAAATCTAAAGCAGCACTGACACACTCATGCAATGCCCAAGGTTGCGTGCAAATATATGATTATATGTAAATATACATGCTTATATACCTCAGTCTCCGCCAGCTCAGCATTTAGAGTGTCGGTATTGCTATCTTTACAAACTGGTTTCCCGACGAAGGTTTGAGCTTTCGCTGCCCATATTTCCAGTGTCTCCAGCTGGGTGACGACAGTGCGCATAAGTCTGAGATGCTCCGTACGTTTATCTGCCTCCTGTACACAGAAGAAAGCGACAATTAGAAGTAAATAAATAAAGTGAATAAAAGTAGGCTTCACAAGTAAAAGCTTCTAGCCTTGCGTGTGCATGAATTGCTATGGTAAAGAAATAGTTGTTTCGTAATGAATTCCTCTACAGGACAAGACATCACAAACAAGTAGAAATTACATGCAGATGGCTCAAAGTGATTACGTCACCGTAAATAGTAAAAATAAAAAAAACATTTCCACTTTTTCACAAAATATTCAGTGATTCTGTTCACTTTTTATGGTTAAATTGCTGCATTATACTTCCTATTTTACTATATTGTTCGATGTGAACATACACT